AGCCTGAACTTCTTGTGTTAGCTTCAGTTTCGTTGATTTTGTGTTTTTTATTGGTACAATTTGATAAAGGTGATTCAGATAGCTTTTAATGAGCTCTAATGCTACTATCTACACAGCAGCCATTTCTAGACTGGTTTCTCATGTAAAATACAGTAGACTCTCAGTAAACGGAAATCTGTAAAATGGGACTGCTGCTTAAATAAAACAACTGTCTCTGATATGGTTGAATTAGTACTTGTATTCATTTATTTCTCCGTAAACAGAACTCTTGTTAAATAGAACACATTATCCTGGTCCCTTAAGGTTCCGTTTTATGAGAGTCTATTGTATTATACTTCATGGAATCAAAACCTTTCTTCAAATCTAGATATAAACCAAGTGTAAAATTTTTTCTATCCTTGTTCGTATGTATACTACATTTGATATAGCACAATGCTTTTTCAGTTGATCTGTTTTTTCGAAAACTATACTGGCTACTAGAAAGTATTTTGCCTTTGTCACATGAAAGAAACTAGTTTCTGGTTAATCACACTTAAAATATTTTAGACATAATAGGGAGGACCGATATTCATGGGTAATTTGATGAATTATTTCTAAGGCCACCTTTATATATAGCTGTTACCCATGCTACTTTAGAGTTTCTATGAGAAAACTCCAGTTGATAACAAGAGATTAACAATGGGAGCAACTGCCTCTAAAATGAGCGGAGATACTTGCTTTCATTCTTTCGGACCAATCTCATCAATGCCTGGTGCGACATTACTTTTCAGTCGCCTTATTGATGCCTCGATTTCCACAGAAGATGTTGGTTGTAAGAATATTTTGTATTGATCATAGGTGTATCTGGGATATTAATATCACGGTCAATGTCATCAGGCTCTTCATATTACCCTGCATTTATGAAATGTTCATTTTTGCTTTTACAGCTTGCTAAATTTTCTCCAAGTTATGCGTTCTGACGTCGGTTACCTTATGCCTATTGATAAACTTTGAAAGCTCCAGTAGCTCTATTTTGTGATTTGCATTTGAGGCATTCATAGTTTGTCATGTCTTCATGACATTTTTCGTCTCCTGGTATAGTTTGCCAGTGTCCTGTCTAGTAACCGTACCTCCAACTTCCATTGCACACTCTTCGATCATACTAGTAAGATGATTGTTCATTGTGTCAACACTAACGTTCGTTGCCTTGTTTAGAGCCGGTAATTTATTCTGAAGCGAAAGTGACACTCGCTCTCAAATCAAACACTCTTACTCTTCGTAGTGGTGCTTCGTGGCTAACATAAAAGTTCCCATCGTCAAGGTCCTGGAAGGTGTCTTGCAGTCACTGTCATCTGCCCGCATCAGCCTGACAATCCACTCATCTTCACTTGTGACCCGGTTGTCGTGAATATCGGCAGCTTAAGCCTACCTGTCGACATATCGAACTCCTGGGGATTACGAAGTGGGTTGAAGCCATCCTGTGAAGACGGCAAAGAGCGCCAGGTGTCCCAGGAACTGCTGTTACAAGGTGCCGCAGGTACGGAGAACATCTCTGGGTGGGTACCGCGAAAGCAACAATGTTTTCTTCACCAGACATTACCACCTCATCTTCCAGGGGTTTTCGACCACACCTTGTGCCACGGGCGTTCCTTTGACCAATTCTGTCCGTGAGCATGTCATGTAAGCGCACCATTGGGGTCACATGCACTGCCCCTGCATTCCAGCATTCGGCACGCACCTCGTACCCATTTATTCATGAAAATAGGGCACCCCTCAAAATACTCAGATGAGGGAAAGACCACGCCAGAACACAAGCAACCCTGTACTGGGGGGGGTCACGAGTAACAAGGTGCGAGGCACATGCTAGGCGCTGGAATGCGGTGATGGTGCGTGAGGCCCCGATGGTGTGCATATGCACCACGCTCACGTACGAGATTGGAGACAGAAAGGCTCGTGGCACGCGACACGAGCCGTGATGGAAAATCCCACTGGATGAGCTGTCACTGTGCTCTAGGGCTTCGGGCTGCGAAAATTAAAAAAAGCAGTGTCGCTACTGCAATGAAAGCAGTAGTCGCCTAGCTTTGAAGGCTGTCAGTGCAAGAGGCCTGGGGAGTGGCCATCGACCTCGGAACACCTGAGTGGAGCTGCCCAGACTTGCCTCACCCTTTCACAGAAGTTCCTGGAGGGCCTACAGCTCTTCCACTACACACCGGGACGGTTGCGGCCTGCACCGCAGTCGTTAAGTGTTCCCCCGTCGACATGGAATGACGCCACTGACAAGTTAGGTTTCAACTAGCCGGTCTGAAGACAACGAAGAGGAGCGAACAATGGCAACGAGGACAAGTGGCTCGTTGGGTAAAAGCAACCAGTGTCGTAGTTAAGAGTATGCGGAGGACTTCGATGAAGCACTCGACAAACCGTCAGCACAACAGAGGCATGGAGTTGACGTGAACTGTAGCAACGTTTGAATACTAAGACCCCATCTTGACTGGATACTGGCTAGAGCTAGAGTTGACCCGTAACATGACTTACCGTATTTTTCGGTGTATAAGTCGCGGTTTTTTTCTGAATTTTTCGTCAGTGTGACTTATATACAGTCAAAATCGGGGTTGATGCCGCGGCTTCGGCGCTTCGGCAGCCTGGATATTGCCGTGCGCCCCCTTTTGCCATGCACAGAAACCGCATTTTACAAGAAAATAAAAATAGTGGCAAAATAACTCTCTAGAAATAACACAGCTAATGTAGCTTAGCACAGAAAATAAATAATCAAAGAGGGGTGAAAATGTGCAGGGATTTTAAAATTTTTAAATGATGAAAGGCGAGTTTGGATTTCCGAGCAGCTTCCTTTGCCGTCACTTCCGTCCGCACTCGCGACTGCTGCTTTGGTGCGTGCATCGCGTGTGTTGTGCCAGTCATAGCATGTGGCGTAGGCTCAGCGGCCTCGCTAATCTGACAACGGCACCATGGCTCCACATTGAAGGCAAAGTCGGCGAAGTTCCAATGTTGAATTCTCCGAAGAACATGGAAATCGTGCTGCAGGGAGAAAGTTTGATGTCGCTGAAAAAAATGATCCGGGACTGGCGCAAAGCCCACAGCGTCCTCCAGACAATGAAGTCTACAAAGAAGGCCAACTGCGACAAGAAGGCATGCTGGCCGGACCTAGAGCGTAGCCTGCGAACGTGGCTGCTGCAAAAGAGAGCCGAAGGAAGAGGCCTATCAACATTGCAGCTGCGCCTGAAGGCGAAGGCTCTGGCAATGGATACAAACGCTGAGGGGTTCAATGGTGGTCCGTCGTGGTGCTACCGCTTTATGCGGCGGAATCAGCTTGTGATGAAAGCCCGCACTACAGTGTGTCAGAAGCTTCCTGATGACTTCCAGGTGCAGCTGGAACGCTTCAGCTCATTCGGCGGGAGGAAGTAGCGAAGAACAACATCAGCGCGAGCCACATCGTCAACATGGATGAAGTGCCATTGACCATCGACATCCCGCTTGGGAGAAGCGTCGCCGAGAAAGCCCAAAAGACAGTCACAGTGAGGACAACAGGACACGAGAAGTCTAACTTCATCGTTGTGCTCGCCTGCTGCGCAGACGGCACCAAGATGCCTCCCATGCTTATTTTTAAGCGAAAAACCTTGCCGAAAAGTATTTTCCCTTCTACAGTGGTGGTTCAAGTGAACGCAAAGGGTTGAATGGACGAAGAAATTATGGGTGTGTGGCTTGACCGCTGTTTTTCACGTCGACCGGACGGATTCTTCCACGTGAAGCCAGAAATGCTGGTGATGGATAGTATGCGGGCACATATCACCGACGTTGTCAAAAAAAAATCGGTTCGAAGAATTGTATGCCTGTAATTATACCCGGCGGCATGACCAAGATGCTTCAGCCACTCGATGTTTCGGTTAATCGCAGCTTTAAGGCCGTCCTGTGACGTTTGTGGGAATCATGGATGTCGGAGGGTGAACACAGCTTCACTAAAACAGGGCGCATAAGACGCGCTGAGTTGGGGGAAGTGGTGAAATGGGTGAGCGTAGCATGGAATTCAATATCTGACAAGATCATTTTGGCGGGCTTTCGCAAGGCCGGTTTGATTCCCTGCGTGACTGATGTTGAGTCCGAATCAAGCGAGTCGGAGGACAACAGTGACGTGCCGGAGGACGACGTGCCCGGAGTACAACCCGAAATAGCTGCGCTATTTGTCAGCGACTCGGAAGAAGAAGACTTCGATGGATTTGAATAAACGCTGCTAGCCATCGTAATAACGATACCTCAGACTGAAAATATTGTGTTTGTGTATGTTTGGAAGAGCTCGCACGCGTGTGTGCAAACAGCTGGAAACTTTCAAGCGCGACGGCCGCCTCTAGCATGAATTATCGTAGTGCTTTCTCATGACGCGGCACTAGATGGCCGGGTAAGCAGGTGCGACTTGTACACCGGTGCGACTTATATTTATTTTATTTTATTTTTGAAAAACTGCCATTTTGAGGGGGGGTGCGACTTATACAAGGGTGAGACTTATAGACCGGAAAATACAGTATTATTAGTTTTGGCTTAGGCATGGAGCTTAGTTCTTTGTGTGTATGCGCGTTGTATTAATTATGAGCGTGGGCATTTCTCATTCTTTGTTAGATAAAGTGTATTGATCATGCCACTCCCGTCTCCGTCACTTCCCCAATCCAATCCTTCGTAAGCATTCGTTCCCGAGATAATCATGATAGTGGGTTTGCACAATTGATTCTTAGCGACAGCAATGTTGTTGAGTCATACAAGCATGCAAAGCAATAGGAAGGTTGTGTTGGTGGTAGTGCCAACGAAGCGCCTATTCTTATTTTAACACCTGACTAGCCTTGCCATCTGCTAGCTCATTCACCATACACAGAAGCATAGCTTTTGAGGTTAGTACCTGTTATTAAAAAAAAAATACTGTTGTTCTGATGCCAGTGGCTTCATCACGAATTATCTTGCTTGATTAGTGAATTCCCTCCTCACCGTTCTATGCATTCCTACTCACTAGATGACCTTACCTTGCGACAGATGGGTGGATTATCATTGCTGTCCAGGACGGTTATTTCAAGCTGAGTTGTGGCCACATGCAAGCCATCAGTGGCCCCCACTGTGAGGGTGTAGTTCTGCAGTGTCTCCCTGTCCAGAGGCCTTTGCACAAAAACATCACCACTGTTCCGCACTGCAAACTGCTGGCCAGGGTCACCAGAGAGTACGTAAAACCCAACAGGAGCAGTCTCCCGATCAGCATCCTCGATACGCAGGCTGGCAACCACAGTGCCTGCAACAGCATCCTCAAGCACCTGCAGCTGGTAGCTGGAGTGCTCGAACACCGGGGGGTTGTCGTTGACGTCCAGCACCTCGACGTAAACCCAGGCTGAAGAGGACAGCAAGCCATCATCGCGCACCTTCACCGTGAAGTTGTAGAAAGGCACAGCCTCCCGATCAAGTGCCACTCGTGTTGTGACCACCCCGTTCAATGGGTCCACCCGGAAGATATCAGCTGCAGGGTCAGTGTCTTCATAAAATTCGTACGTCACTTTACGCAGCGCCACATCTGGATCGTGTGCCAGGAGCCGAGCCACCACACAGCCCTGCTCCGCATTTTCAGCTACTGCAGTCTTATAGGCCAACACATCGAACACAGGTTCACAATCATTGTCGTCCAAGACATGCACGGTGACATCAAAGGCTGTGGCCAAGCCATGAGACGTCTCCTTGCGCAGGGTTAAATGATGCGTGCTCTGATGTTCCCGGTCCAGTGGTGCAGCCACTACAAGATTGCCTTGAGCATCAATGCTGAATTCGGAGGGTCCCGTCAGTGTTGAGCCAGGTGGAAGTGCCAGCACAGAGCTACCCAGAAGCGCACTTTCTTGAACAAAGAGGTCGCGTGTGGGAAGTTCGAGCGAAGGGAGCTCCTCCAGTGGCGACACCACGGCCACCGTGACAGGTGCCACAGCCCAGCGAGCTTGTGGCTCACCTTGGTCGCTGACATGAACAAAGAACTGGAACACACCAATACCTGCAAAGGCAGTGCAGTTGCTCGGAAATGTAATTTAGAGCCTAGGTAATAAATTCAGTCAAGCATTTTGTAGGGCCCCTACATGCTGTGTCAATCTTACGAAGAGGACTTGTTGATAAGAACAGTGCAAATGCAACAGTGTGGCACGAAGGAGGAACACAACACAGTGCACGGGTCACTATGTGCATTGCTTCTTTCAACAGCACCTTCGTGCTGTTTCACCATCAAGAATCATCAACTTGTCCACCAAGCTTCACCCTTAGAAAGTATTGTATTTACTTGCGTGATGAACGCGCTCACATAATAAACGCAACCCCAACTTCAGTCATGAAAATTTCAATTTTTTTTCACCAGCATAACAAACACACCCCCTACATTATTCTGCTGCAGTCCCGCTAACAGACACCTGGCACCTCCTCACCCATTGGCTCTGATTGATATGTGGGGTTTAGCGTCCCAAAACCACCATATGATTATGAGAGACGCTGTAGTGGAGGGCTCCGGAAATTTCGACCACCTGGGGTTCTTTAACGTGCACCCAAATCTGAGCACACGGTAATCGGTTAGATCTCTTTCTTCCATTATTTATTACATTGCTGACTCCCCTCGGCCATATCAGCTCGCTCTCTCCCCCCTCGCCCGTTGCCGCGTGTTGTATTGTTTTTCTTTGAATCTGTGTGCGGCACGTCCGTCGTCTTATCTGAGCGCCACAGCGGTGTTTACGAACGATGCGAGTCTAGAGACATCACAGCTGATAAGCACACAGCGAGCGAAGTTCACAAAACTGCCCGTGCCAACCGGCGGTTGCTTCCTGTAAATACGAAAAAGCCTAACCACGTGCCTGCAATTTTCGAGGGACAAGGACAGGATTTGCTTTCGCGAAGGCTCATTCGTCGCTATCACATTACTGATTTCTGGAAAACCAGAAAGAATCCCTTGTTCTTCAGAAAAGATCGTGACGATTTTCGCAACATGGTAGCACCGCCGATTCTCGCTTCGCTTGTTATTTGTGCATAGAGGAATTTCTCATGTAGAAGTGAGGCGGTGGCCGTATTTTGTCATTAATTTTGTTATCGACCGTTTGCTTTGATGCTTCAGGTGTAGCTTGCTGCAGTGTTGGTTACTTGTTACAATGCCAACGGCGTCGTCATGGTCATCGTGCAAGGTGTGGAGATCTGAGGCATGCCCGCGACCATTTCACGGTCATTCCGCCGTACGGCCGCTCCCTTTCCCTTTCCCTGCTCTGGTAACGGCGCGTGGCAATACGCGCAGGCGGGGTACGTGTTCTCAGGGGCTGCGAAAATTCAAAGGATGAGTCATTTACGCGCCGAGAGAGGTCTCTCCTTCGTTGGTTGGCGCCTTCATCTGCATCCCCTTTGGGAAGGGTTGCTGATCAGGCGAGTTAATCATCCATGAACGTAGCGTGTATTAGCGCAGTACATAAAAGAAAGGGACACGACACAGACGTACAGATAAATAGGCGCTAAATTTCTAACTGTTTATTTCATGCCAATCACACCCATTTTATACATCCGCGACAGAGCAGAACTCATCTTACACGTGTTCTTAAACAAGGAAGGCTGTGGGTGCTCCCCTGATCTGTATAGTTGCATAGTTATCGATCGTTCTAAAGATCGGCTCACATGGGAGATAAAAAATGCCGAGGCTATAGAAGAATTAGGCCATTTGTGTGTAAGCCCGTCATCGATTTCCTTGTCAGAAAAGGAAATGACGTTCCTTGGTTTAAGAACACGTGCAAGATGAGTTGTGCTTTGTCGCAGATGTATAAAATGGTTGTGATTGGCATGAAATAAACAAGTGCAAGTTTAGCGCCTACCTATTTCTACGTTTGTGTCGTGTCCCTTTCTGTTATGTACTGCGCTAATACATGCTACGTCCCCTTTGGGAATCGCAGGACTGTAGCCTGCCTGGGGTGGGGGGGCCTTGGCATTCGGGCAGGCATGTATACTTGAGTGCTAGCTTTGGTACCGTACGCTAAGCCAACAGCGGTGCCTAGTGCTTGAAGTGGTTGCACCACACCAAGCCGCCATTGCCGTGGGCCTACGCGTACGAGGTTTGCCCTAACTCTCGCTACCAGGCCCAGTGGTCATCGTTAGAGTGTGCAGTATAGCCGCGAGGGACCTTTTCCCAACCGGCGTGTCGAAGCTCACTATTGCCAGCCGCGACGTGCTTGCGGTTTTACCTTATCGTGAACGTCCGCGTGCGGGAGCATTTGCTCTACGCGTTTCAGGGGCGGACGTTGTAGTGTTGCTCGGGGTGCCCCCAAAGGCAATAAAGTGTTGGTGTATTTCTGTTATTCGAACACTGTCTGTTTTGCCGCGCTGCACTAAACACCTTGTTGGTTGAGCACGTGCGGAGCGGTGCGCTACACGCGAGTAGGTGACGAAGTCGCGGCCCTGTGGCTCGCTAAGCGTGAACCCGCGGTGATCATCCGCTACGGTGAGTAGCAAGGTCACCATAGAAGTTGCCAGAAAATTCGCAAAGTGCGCCGCAGCATCAAAGCACACGCTTTTGGGCGCTCCTCGAGATCATAGCAGATACCACTGTTGCGGTTAAACGATTGTGAAAAAAAATAGCCGCAAAACGCTTTTATGACGTCGTGTGGGCGGCCCGAGGACAGCTTGCAGAAGAGAGGGCCATACATCACCGAAGATGAGTAAAAAGCAACAAAGAAGCTATTTCCAAACAGTGTACATGTATAACAATTGCGAAAGGCTAAGCGCCCTGACTCTTTTTTTTATTACCATATTTCTTGGTCCTCCCGAAAAAGTTTTCATCCCCCCAACTTTGCTCTTAATTTTCAGGAAAAAAATTGCATTCATTTCGAGAGTAAACACGGTATTTGCCCTGTTTCTAAGCATAATACTACTGCATTTATTTTGTACAACCATAGGGCCAAATCTATGTTTCCTGCAATGTCTTCACAGATGAAAAATCACATGTTGAACTCTTTATTAAAGAAAGCCTTTTCTAACACAAGATGTGCTGGTTAACTTGTACTGTGCATGCTTCTCCAAATTTTGTAGCCTCACTAAAGTGAACATTATTTCAGTCAGAGTTTCCTAGTTCTTCCAGTAACTTGGCTAATCTAGCTTTGCTCAAGAAGGTACATGCGCTGAACTTTTCAGTAGTGGCCTGTCCAGATCAAAAAATTATCAGCAACCTTTGCTACTTTTAAAGTCCAAACATGGCCATAATCAGACATTCACCAGCTATTCGAGCTGCTCACCAAGCAGGTGAGCACAGCAACATGTAAGATGGGCTGCGAATGTGAAGTCTCTTTTTCCGAGGACTTGCCTCAAACTACAGTGCCTAGAATACCATGCCGAACACCCAAACTTGTTGACTCCACATCGAAACTGCATCAGCGTATACCTATTTCTCCACCTCTTTCACCATGAGAATGCATACTCATGACACAGCATGGACTATTTTCTGCATTGGAGATGTTCAAGGCCATGTCGTGCCACCTGTTGCTCTAAATCTCTGCGTCCATGCTGCAATGCATGCTTGGTTGACTTTGGAAGTTTAGGTCTCGCCACCATAGGCTACAATAGTTATATATTCAAGCTCCCTGTTATAAAGCTTGCTGAAAAAAATTGGGATCGTGCTGCCAAACACTTAAGCGTGAAGTTCTTCAACAAGTGATGATCGATACAGAAGAAAGCACAAGAGTGTGAACTTGCTGATACAAAGTTTTCTGCTACTGAAGACCTTTTCAATAACGTGCATAAGCTTAGGTCCTCCCTAGCTTCTCCCAGCATTTTTAAGAAGAGCTAAAAAAAATGGGACATTCGAATACCCTATATGAAACCTAGGATGACGTGCTTTAGGAGGGCAGTGACAGCAGTTGTAGGGATGATTCCCAATCAGACTTCGCAACCAGTGGTTCTGACTAGACTGGTTCAAAACTGACTGCTTCAGGTACGTGCTAATTCTGTTAAATAAACAAGTAGAGTTCCTTGGTGCTCCATTTTTTTTCCGCATATACTGCAAGCAGAATCTCCACATAATTTGCACACCCCCTGTGCTGAGCTCACAAGTTGCAAAAAAAAAAGTGTGCAAATTATGCTGGTAGACACCATGGTAAACACAGAGATATTCCTTCATGATTGCGCCAAATTGTATGCGACTTCATCATCCTGCGTTGAAACTCTGACATCATTTTGATAGCACCCAGCACACGTATGAATGTAGCCATGAGAATCACTCCTTTTGATGCTGATTGTGCATATCGCTGTGGAGCCGCTGCAGGACATCCCTAAAATGGGCCCTAGACCCATTCTTTAAACCGCAAAAAAACCTTTACATGTGTGAACAAGACCGCTTGTGCATGTGAGCCCGAGAATGGCAAACAGCAAGGCACTGAACTGCTAGCACAAACAGCATTGTTGCTACCGTATAAACCGGAATATAAGTCGAGACGTTTTCAATAAAATAATAAGCTAAAGCCACCCCTCGTCTTATATGATGGTGTCTAGCCGAAAGTGAGTGCGCCTCTGTGTGGCAACATGTGGCTTGCATGTGCTTCAGAAGCCGGACGGCGCCATATCCGCATCCAAATCCAATCGCAAGCTGTTTTTTTTTTCTCTGCGTCTGTTTTCTTTGTATTCATAATTTGCTTCCGATCTGTTCCGAGTTTTTGCTCCGCTTGACATTGAGCTGCATTTTTAGTGGTCTTTTTTTTTTCGTTCACTAAATATGAGTAGCGGTGCGAGGAGGCAGTACTCAGCTGTGTTTAAACTAGATGTTGTTGAGTTCCCAGAAGCCAACGGGAATATGGCTGCTCAGCGCCATTTTGGTGTATCGGAAAACAGCGTGCGCTATTGGAGGGCGCAGAAAGGAAAGCTGCAGATATGCAATCCTCGAAAAATGTCCTTTCGCGGACAAGTGGCGTTCATCCGCAGCTAGAAAATAAGCTAGCGGACTTTGTGCGGGAAGTTCGTGCGAGCTCGCTGCCAGTGACTGTGGATACCATTCGCAAGACAGCCGTGGAACTCGTTCGAGAAGCTGGGCTCACGAGAGAAGAGTTTCGTGCACCAAACTCTTGCGTGCGTCAATTTATGCGACGCGAAGGATTTTCTCTCCGGCAGCACACGTTCTATCTGTCAAAAGTTGCCGGAGGAGTTCGAGGACAAGCTCATAAACATTCAGCGCTTCGTGAACCGGCTTCGGGAGCAGAACGACTACATGATGGGGCAGATTGGCAACGCCGATGAGACCCCCATGTGGTTTGACATGCCTTCGTCAACCACGGTCACGCAGCGCGGCACCAAGAATGTGAAACTGTTGTCCACTGGCAACAAGCACTCGCATTTCACTGTCATGCTGGCATGCACGGCAAATGGTAGAAAGCTTCCGCCCTTCATCATTTTCAAACGCAAGAAAATTTCGAAGGAAGTGTTCCTACCCGGTGTTGTCGTTTGCGTCAACAAAAATGGATACATAGACGAGGTCATGATGCTCGAATGAATAAGAGTGGTGTGGAACCGTCGGCCAGGTGCAATGCTGCGTCTTCGCAGCATGCTGGCGTTGGATGTGTTTCGTGGCCGCTTGACCAAAGCAGTGAAACGCGCAATCGGTGACGGAAAAACGGACCTCACTGTGATACCAGGTGGAATTACGTCCACCTTTCAGCCGCTCGACATTGTGCTAAACAAGCCGTTCAAGGACCGAGTGCGGATGAAATACCAACAGTGGATGTCCGGCGACAACCCCAAGACATCGACGGGCCACCTACAGAAGCCTCCACTTGCGAATGTTTGTGGCTGGGTGCTTTCCGCCTGGCGTTCCTTGCAGGATTCCATGGTGGAAAATGCTTTCACGAAATGTTGCATCAGCAACTCGCTGGATGGCACAGAAGACGACGCACTGTGGGAGGCGGCTAGCCACAAACTCTCGTCTTCGGAAGACAGTGGTGCTTCGTTGGATGAATAGGAGCAGTTGCGATCGTGGTTGAGGGGAACTCCGACGATCAAGCTGCGGTTCGCCCAATTCGCAAATAAATGTGATTCGGCAGTTCTAGGTTGTTTTCCTTTTTTTTTCTTTTTTGGTAACCTGAACTTGGGAGGTCGACCTATCGTATTTACTCGTATAATCCTCGCACTTTTTTTTGCCGGAAAACCGATGCAAAGTTGGGCGGTGCGAGAATTACGCGGGGAAAACTTTTCACGAAAACGTACAGAGCGAAAAAGAAAACGAATTGGCCGCAAATCGGGATTCTCACACCAGCAATTAACAGCAAGCTTTAAGAAGTACTAATTAAAACTTACCTCAACAATAAAAGCAGAGGTTCAACACAAGGCAAGATTTATTTGAGACACAAAAAGTGGAAGCAAATAGTCGAGAATTAGAATGCCATACACAAAGCTTGTGGGCGTTGCGGGCGTAGCGGTAGTGTTCGTCGCTCAACAGGAGCTCTCAAAAGGTAAGCGTAGGACGTCAATATTGGGCTGATGGATATTTAACAGAATCGTCCGCAGTTTGCTTCTGAAGAAATAAAGTTTACTATCAATCCCAGTTTTAAGCACACGGCAGGCCCAACGCGTCTTGGTGACTTTCAGCTGCCGTCAACAGTAGCGAACACAAAACTCGTAGGCTCCGAAGGGCCTACCGGCGGCCCTGTTGCCGTTGTTTAGTGCATGATCCATCACTTGCAACTTGAAGCAGCCGTGTAGCTTTAATATCGCCTCATAACGTGCCAAGATTACCGACACAACGAACAAAACACACCGCAACGCGCACTGGCCACTTCGGCTTGGCTTGAATTGGATTGAAAATCCGTGCAATAGTACGCTTGATGCTTAAGAGATGGCGCGAGATGGCGCCCTATCATCATCTTTGGCTGGAACGAGCAGACGACTTTATTGCGGCAGTTTTCGGGTGTGCGATATTTACTCGAGGAAAAAAAGAAATCATATTTTGGTTGGGCGATGTGGGGGGTGCGAGAATTATGCGAGTGCGAGGATTACGCGAGTAAATATGGTATATTCCCACTCAACCTATCGTCCGGTTTATACGGTACACTCCAAAGACACAAAGAAATCAGTCTAAACAAATGACTTGACATCTGGTGACTGCTTCTGGCACCACGTCAATTTCATAAACAAAGATGGTGGCACCGATGCAAGCGCACTGTGGTGGCACTTAATGCAGTTAAGCGAAGCAGAGGTATTTGAGCGCATTATTCTGGAGTATGTGAACTTTTGCACAAGCATGAAATGTGTGGGAAAATAACCCGTCAGTTTTCACTGTAGGAAAATTGCAACTGAGAATTATTTCGTTGTCGAAAAGTGCAAGATACACGACATGAATCGTATGGGTGTTTACCAAGTAGGTACATAAAATTATTTCGTTGTCAAGATAATTTCATTTAATGCAGGTTTCAATTGTACCTCTTGTTGTAGCGCATTAAGAGCTACAATTGTAGCTACAATTGTGCTATACCCTCTGAGCTACAGTTGTAGAACAGAGAGTGGGCTCTGCAATAACAAGTGGTGACATTTTTAAAATCTTTTCAGCCAAATGAGGTCACTTGCAAGCCTTGTCTCTGACACCCTGAACATTTGTGCTTGCTTGCAGGATAACCGAGAACTGGCTGCACTTACTGCTCTCACCGTTCTCATGCTTGCCACCTGACACAACAGAAACACCAAACCACGTGAAGATGCAAGGTACAAGACTACGTTATGTAAGAGTGAGAAATGCCACTGCTCCAAAGGTTTTGCTTGACCGTTTTGCCACAGCTGTTGCTAGAAGATGTTCCGCTCTGCTTTGACATACTAGATACAAAATAAATAAAAAAACAGAGTGCAAGTCAAACGTATGACAACTAGCACCAGTGGAAGTTATTCCTCTGCTGTAGCAGTCACTACATACACTGAAATTACAGAAAAACACAATTTCTGAAAATTCAGCTAAAAAAAAAGACACATCAGGGATAGTTTCTTGGGATTGTGGTAATTCATTTCTCACCTTTCGGTGCACTAAAAGAGAAGAATGCAAAGTGATGCAAACACGGCACTGTGTGCGTGTTGCTTTTCGCCCAAGTCCTTTCGTGCACTAAAAGTGAGAATACACAGTTTTCCTTGAACATGTAGTTACACAGCGATTTTCTATATCAAGATTACACTGCCCTCTCAATGTATGCGAGGTTAATTGTCTTGTTTGAAATGTGCAAGCCTAAACTCTGCACATACTATTATGATTTTGTTACTTCGAGGAAGCCTCACCTTTAAGTGGCGCCTTGAGGTAAAGCTCTCCCGAGTCATGGGTGATATTGAATATTGAACTGACATTCCTTGGTGCTTCGTGCAAACTGTAACGCAGCCAGTTTCCTTGGTCTTGGTCAAAAGCACGAACCTGTAAGCCACAAAGAAAACTCTAAACTGTAGGTGAAATGAGCAAGGTAGAAAGCATGGATGGCTCATGTTCATTGAGCCTCACAAAGTATTCAATTTGGAAAGCTTTTGTAATTATGAATTCATATTGTTACGGTTAGATTGAGTTTACCTATGTTTATTTACAGGCGAGTTCAGGTGGTGATCGGCGATGATGGCAAACGTAGGCCGAACTAACTAACTTTCTCTTCCTCTACTTTTGTCCCAAACGATGACCTGGCTCATACCGTATCAGTCCCCGGTTCACAGACAAAGCCCGCTGGGCGAGGCGAATCATTGGCGTAGTGTGGGATGGAACTGCTTGAGACGAGCTACATGCGCCAACTGTGTTTGGCTTGACCGACGACCAGCTGACGTCAAGTGTGCCGTAGGTCAAGTCACTCAGGCGATTTACGATAACGAATGAACCGACATAGTGCACTAAAAGTTTCTGGCGTAAGCCATGTTTCCGCTGAGGGGTCCACAACCACAGGCGGTCCCCTTTTTCGAATGAAACGGGGTTGTCGCCTTGATCATACCTCTGCTTGGAGCGATCTTGCGATGCCAGTGTGCAAATATGGGCAATTTGACAGGCTTCATCAGCTTGGCACAGTGTTCGAGCAACTGAATCATTCGTATGGAGCTCAAATGGAAGTATTGTATTGAGGTAGCTGAGCGATTGTCGAGCGTAGAGTAGGCAGAACGGAGTGAAGCCCGTGGCTACGTGCTTCGCTGTATTATAAGCATGGCTGATGAATGGCAAAATCTCATCCCAGTTCCTGTGATTTGAAGATACATACATAGCCAGCATATTAGTAAGCGTGTGGTTTGTGTGTTCCACAAGGCCATTTGTCTAGGGATAATATGGTGTCAAATGGCAAAGCTGCGAAGTGCAGAGAGGAAGCAATTTCTGTACAGTTTCGGCAACGAATTGACGACCGCGATCACTGATGATGACATGAGTTGGACCATGGTGAAGAACAACAGATCGTAATAAAGTTAAGTCATTGCGCTGTTCCCACTGAAGTGTGGTGACATCATTAAATGCGCGTGAAACAGTAGCAAAGCAGATGTCGAACGTTTCTGTATTGTCCTCAGTTGTAGACAAAGGATGGCGAGAAAGACAACTGGCATCATTATGATGCCGTCCACAAACCATGGCCGTGCTCATAGCGTATCGATATTAACTAGGCCAGCTGCCAGTCCTACTAAGAGTTTAAGTTAGGTCACCAGCTTCATAAAAGTTATTACATTTAGTCTAAACATTATAATAAAGATTCTGGCTAGTAGGGCTTAAGAAAATTCAATTTTAACATGATGAAATAGCTGCAAGTGCAAAAAATTTAATTTAGGAAAATCAAAATGTGCTCTAATATGCTGTACCAACAGTTATAACTTGTAGTGTACACATATTGTGAAAGATTACGGCCACTAGCGTGGGTCTGGGCTTAGCAATCCGCAGGGCACGCGTTAACCGTCACCCAGCCGAGAACATGGTACTGTTCAAGGTCGCAATACTTTATTGTCTGCGGCAACACCAAAAACCCAATACAGAGCCCATTGCAAAAGGCACGGCAGGAAAGCCGATTGGCTTATCCACGCCACGGGCGAGAAGTACTACACAGGGGTGCCGCAAGCACATATCGCGGTGTCACCGCATTCACGGTGACACCGCGATGAAGGGCCCGGTCGCTCGAGCAAGGGCAAGAATGGGCTCACATTGGCTTCCTAGAGGCAAGGATTTACATAGTATGACTACGCACAAGGACAGGACACCGCACCGCTCTTCGGCCTGGTAGTCGGAGAGGGGGGGGGGGAGGGGCGACAAAGGGAAAGCGTTCGCTGTGGACACAAGGCGCTATTGGCGAAGTCTGAACAAGCCCCACACAAAAAAAAGCCAACGGATGCAAAAGAAAGGCGTGCTTACCCCAGGTCATCCCAGAGAAGTTCTCTCTCACTCCCGATGAGCGCGTGCGATATGTCCATAGAGACTTTGCGCACGGCGCCACAGTCGACATTGTGAGAGGTACTGACACTCCCTTGTAAGGTTATTTGCGCCGTGTGGCCCATGTGTCTCGTGCAGAAGCCGTATTTTGGGGTCACGGCTATTGAGTGATATGTGGCGTTTTATACACGAGCGGTGATCACCGCTATCATCATCATCATCATGGTTGTTAGAGAGGTAGCACCGGCAGTGACCCCTGGCAGCAGAGGCAAGCCTTGGTGGCGGCGCGCAAGAAACAAGCAGCTCTCTTTTGCGCGTGCTGGTTGCCGCGAACGGTTGTCTCTGGCATGAGTCTCCGGTGCGTGGCACCGTGGGTTGCGCATTGGGGGCCCTCGTGGTAGGTCAAGCGTTGGCGACGGCGCCTTGGATGTATTATTGTGTTTGTCGTGTTTTGGAGTGTATGTTTACTATTGTGTAAGGATGTCCTAGTGTGTTGATCACGATTTATGTTATAATAATTCGGCGGACGATATCGTTGTTCTGAAATTAGTTAAATGAACGTATGTTGTTGTTTGGTTTGTACCGACCGCATTTACTGTGTCCTTTCACTCTAAGAGCGTGGTGGCGATTACCACCTCTAGACCCCACAGCGTCCTCTACCAGGTGAGAGGGGCTAAACGTTACTCCCCACTTCCCCAGCGCGGGTGACGACGGAGGAGGGGAGAGTCTTGTCAAGACATGAGAACGGCAAAAATAAGCGGCAAAGCCCGCGCAAAGGCAGCGGACTAGCCTCAATTCCCACCAACTAAAAAAACTGCTAACGACTGAAATGCAACTTTGTAGCAATGTAGTGAAAATAACACCCTGTGTATCTAACCTCCACGATCATCATATCCCTAAGATTAGGTGCACTGACATTTGGCAAGTTTGTTTTGCCCACAGTTGGCCATAGTACAAATGTTACTGCTTGTTTTCAAAATTCTGCTTAATTGCACAATTCCACTTTTAAAGAAACAGCACAAAAAATTTGATGCGAAAATATTTAATAGAAGGAAAGCTGTCATTGTTGTCACAACTGTAACATGCGAAAAATCACATTTTGAAAAAAAAAAAAATGGCCTTGCAGATTAGAACCGAATGTCCATGTAAAGAAGAAGCATTCAATATGCCTGAAATTCACCAGGCTTACAACTTGGGAAGTGGCACAATCTTTTTTTTTTTTTTTGAGCAAGATGCAGGACGTATTTTTTTAGCTCATTTTGAGTCTCGAGCTGACTTTCATTCCCACGCTTTACAGTGAGGGGCTCACGCTTGGTATACTAATATAACTTAGGTTGACGCTTCTTTCCTTGCATAAACATCACTATGTTTCATGATGTACTACAGCTTTCTTTTTAAATAGTCAGAACAAAATCCAACAACTTGAAATGGTATACAAAAAAACACATACTAATGAATGAAAGTGCACACAACTTATAATCATAAAGTGCTGAAAACAATTGGTGAAAATTTTAAAATAAAGTGAAAACGTCCTGTTCTACAAGGTTGAGAACATATTTAGAACACATAGCATTAAGTAATATCTATGCAATAACATTTATCATGAGATAGTAAGTATAGCGGAATCGCAAACCTTCAGTTTTAGTTTCACATGCTGGATGCATTCGAAACTGAACTGAAAGTTTACAATTCCACAAAATGTTCCACATTCCTCAATTGTCCCAATTGTGTCATTATACATTCAAATCTCAATAATTCGAACTCAAAGGGGCCCGAAAATTTGTTCAAATTAAAGAAGTTTGAATTAATAAAAGCTGAATGAACGGAGGGCTCACCATGCAGTGGAGCATATGCATTGAGCTAATAAACGAGGTGGAAGTTTAAAAGACTTACATTTATTCGCAAATCACAGGACATCCATCATCATTTGAAGTAATCGGTGATGCGCGTATGCACACCTTTGCCTTGCAGCGAGCCAATCAATTTTGTACGCAGCTTGCAAAGCATTGCTACTTCGGGCTCAGCATTCTCCTGGCAAGAGTAGTTGCGCGCGGGAATGTCCAGTGCCGACACTTTCTAAAGACAAAAACAACAACGACTGCGCCTCCATTAGGACCACTACTACCCTGCGCCGCAGCCGGGCGTGGCCAGCACATGACGAGAAAGGAGAAGCGTCTCCACGCGAAGAGAAGCAGATCAGCATTTGAGAGAGAATTAACACTCCACAGCAGCTTTTTTTTTTCTCTCTCTTCGTGCGCGCCGCTGAAAGGAGAAGAGTCTACGTGGCAGGGACGGGAAAGAGGAAAGCGTGGCACTGGTGCGACAGAGGACCAACACTCTGCAACAGCTTTTTTTTTTTCCTCTGTTCGCACGTGGCCTGAAAAGGAGAAAGGTCTTTACGTGGCAGGAACGAAAAAGAGAGAAGCATGGCCCAGGCACATCGCAGATCAGCATTTGAGAGAGAGCGAGAGTTTCACCGCAGCCTTTTCTTTCCTTTTCTTTTCCTTCGCGTGCATCGTTGAGGCGTCGGAGGTGCCGCTGCGGGATTGGACGTGGTGTTAGGAGTATTTTCGGAGCACGGTATGTTCGAACTAATCGTCGTAAGTGCTTGCACGATCGAATTACAGGGTCTTTTCGCTTATTGGAATACACATAGCTTTGATGGGACCTAAGCATGAGGTCGAATTAATCAGAATCTTGAATTAAACGTGTTCGAATTAATGAGATTTGGCTGTATTCAGATTTCAGAAATGCTCATGAATGCAAGGGTTGAAAGAATGGTCACAACTAAGGGTGTGTGACCATATAAATTCGAAATAATCTTTTTATAGTGTTTGCTATTCAATTCAATTTGCACTATAATTCAACTATTTGAACTTCTCCAAGATAAATCGTACAGTCAATGTCCAAATGGCAGTGGCCCCTTCAGATTGCCAACATCTTTCACCCCACCACACTTCCATAATGCAGCAAAGCTGCCTTTCAAGCTCTGCTACAGTCGCAAGCGTATTATCTCTTAACACTTCTTTCACCAGAGA